TAATGAATAAAAAATATTTTGTTCTCATTTGGACTTTGAATTCGCCTCTTATGTTTCTCACGCCATAATGAAAGTAAATGTTTTCTTATAATTATAAAGTGTCAATTAAATTGGTATTTGAGAGGTTATATTGTGTCAAAGAACAAACTCTTTCTCTGTCTTCAATAAGCCATATGTCAATGCAAAGATGAAAGCCAGCAACGGAAGTAGTGACGCCATACCATGACTGATTAGTTGTCTGTTGTGTTCAAAGTATGTTTTCTGTTCATTTATCACACAGGGTTGTTTTTAACACGAAAAGCATATATCTTCTATATGGTTCCCTAAACAGCTTACGAGCCATACAGATCAATTTTGCCAAAGCTATTACATTTACACAACATCCACTGCTTGAATGACACAATTTTAATTATCAATGAAAAGGAGCTTAATTTTAAAAGGGGGTCTTTGACGTTACAGGTTTGACAAGCACTACTTGGTATTAGACTATAATGGTGATTGTTGAGGTTACCAGACACCCACCTATCAGTTCCACTGTTGCCTACACCACTCCACCACATAGTATAATTAAACATTAATGTACCCGACTGCCTCACATTACAGCAAGCTATTTCCTCAATTCTGGATTTCCACACTCAGTTAAATGAAAAGGTTTTCACCAAAAGTATTCCACTTTTATTTTGCTTTAAGAAATCTTTTCCAGTGCTTAATGGCTGCTCTAGCCAAATGTTGTTGAAACAAAAAGACTGTATCTGATCGCTGCTCCCAAACTTTTACCGACCTACAGCCCTTGTGGCGTATGCGTAACCACTTAATCCCTATTAAAGGCACACACAGGCAGCTTGGAAATTTAGCACAGGGTGATGATTGCTTTCTTTTCATTTTGTTTTTCACTTAACCCCTGCCCATCTTTCTTTTATGACTTTTATGGCTGGGAACACTGGGCCTTGTTGTTTTCTGGATGGTTTGAGCCGGACACAACAATGTTTGCTCAAAGTAACAGTGTGTGTGGTCTTGTTTTTGCATTAAATTGTTTTGTATCTTACAGTATCTTCAGCGAGTGTGTATCTGTGTGTTTGCTTTGGTGTGTCTCTCTGGTTGTCTGTTTCGTTGCATGTGCACTGACGTGCAACTGAGCATATGTAGTATTCATGTGCTTTTTGGCCTGGGGATGATACCCTCCCATTCATGTGACCATGTGACAGTGAGCTGTGTTGGTACTTTGTAGGAGCCTTAGGGGGAAAGGCAAAAAATATACTCTTTTTATATACCAGACTGACAGAAATAAACACTGAAGTCCATTACTCTTCCTAATTTGGTTAAAGAACAGCTAGAATATGCCCTCCATGCATTGTGAATCAAACATTACATTCTCAGCCACACAAAATACACATACTTGTCTTTTTGTGCTGAAGGCCTTTTTGTTCTGGTCTTAGGAGAGATGGTTTTAATACCGCATTGCTCTGGCAGAACTAATACAGCTGCAGCTTCACTCATTAAGCACTGACAGCACTAACTCATCTTCATCTCTAACACTTTCTAACCAAAAACACAAACAACTACAGGACAAAGGACAACGAATACAAACCAACTACTCTAAATACAAGGAATAACAAAGCACCCAACCAAATACAGAAAACGTACCAAAATACAGAAAACCCATTGAAATATAGAAAACACACAACTAACAGAAACTATGTTACAAACCATTGATTTAAGGAGAAGAAAGTGAGTTAATACGGAAAAAGGAAATTTTGGCTTAGTCACAAATAAAATACAAGCGTGTTACTGTTTACAGAACAAATTGCAGATGTTAGTCACATCCTCACTGCTGAACCACTGAGGATAATTACCATAGCTCTGATTTCTTGGTGTGGGGAGCAAAAACGAATTGTTCTGCATTTTTGTAGTCGTGGTGGTTTAGGAGGAAATTAGTGTGAACCTTAAACCGTATCCAAATCTGGGCATCAGGCTCTGGTATAATCAATAAATGATTGACATCCATCACTTTAAAGTGAAGCAAAGGTTTGTTTTCACACAAAATGTAACAGGAAAAAGTTGGTCGCCTCAGGATACCGTGTCAGATTAAGACATTGCAGATCGAAGGACATCAACACATGCTTCAAATTTAAGATTGATTAAGCAATATTATATCTCAAAGCCTTAAAGCTCTTATAAACTGTAACAGTTGGGAAAATATAGAAGATTTTATAGCTTGGATGAACACTTTAACTGCCAATGTTGGATATATAGAAAGATATAAAATGTCGTTCTTTTTTGAAAATGTCATTTGTTAGTGCAACATCACTTTGATTATATGTGGGTCAACAGAGCGTTCAAAACAATTTCTACCTCTAGGTTATTACACCTTGAGTTCTTATGTCAATATTGGCACAAGCAAACAAGGCCTGCTGAATATTATTCTCCCAGGCATATTTTACCTGCCTGTTCCTAAGAATATTTGAAACAAAAACAAATAGCTATGGAGGGAATAGCAGAGTTGTCTATTTATGAATCTTATCAAAACAAACTCACCAATTAAACCAGCCTTGGTGGGGTGAATAATCAAGCTAACAAAAAAGCGTATTTTCTCTCAAAGCTGCAAATTCTATTCATATCTACATCGTAAATGTGTCTAAACTCAAGCAACAACAGCCTTCCGTCTCTGGGAAACAGTGTTTTTAAAGTCTTCAGGGTGATAACAGACAGCTGGGCCTCCACGCTGTACACACATATAGACAATATTAAAGTATAGCTGTGTCACCCTGCTACTTCCTCTCTTCTGTTAGCCCCGTGTTAATAGCTTTATGGCTCAACACAAACAGAGCATTATAGTTGGAAGAGATTGTTTCAAGTTCATGTGATATGTATAAAAATTGAAGGAAGTGCATAGTTGACAGTTCACACCATAATACTGCGCCTATTTAAAAGCAGCAGTCGTTCAGGCTCTATGGTATTGGAACCAACTGGGGTCCATGAGAACTAATAGAAATGTCCGTCTGTTGGTCGGCAGTTGGCCGAAGTATTGAAAAATTAATATCTTGACTTGATTGGGAGTAAAATGTAATTGTAGCACTCGAGTAAGGTGGGTCAAGAAAATTCACGCGCTAACTTTGAATGTAACTATCTGGTAGATGAGATGTTCCTATATCAGTCTGATACACTCTGTAAATCCAGAGGAAAAGAGAAAGGATCAAACATGGATTCCTTCGCTTGGCACCATGATTACTGGATTTCATGGAAAGCTCTCCAATAGTTGTTGAGATATTTCACTGCACCACTCTATAGTGTGACTCTTAAGCCCCACGGACCCGGTTCATTTGCAGGAAACAACGTCTAAGGAACCTTAATATTTAATAAACTATGAATATTTTATATCCATATAACGGGAAAAAACTAATTTAACTGATCTTTTTCATTTTTTTTTTCAACAAAAACACACAACACTGACCCTCTGAATTAGCCCCGAGCGAAAAATGCTAACATATTACTGCACCGAAAATCACTCCTAGCTCCCTTATTACTTAGCTGCACATCCAATACATCGTTTATGATCGTAAAGACAGCCCACCTCAACACTGAAAGATACAAACTCGCAACGTTATCAACAAAAATGTACATCAAAACATGTGGCGCTAGGTAGCCTAAAATGCTAACATGGCTTACCTTGGTTTTGTCTGGTCAAAACTGGTCTTCAATGGCATTAAAACGATAAAAACGATGCTGTAGTTAATCCATAGGTTAATATATCCAATGTGGCTGTGTCCCCTTTGAAATGTTCTGATAATCTATAAGCAATAAAACTGCAATTCCGTTTCAAAATAGTAGAGCAGGCCATTCCTACGCTCTTGTAGCAAGATTGAATGCGCAAACATGAGTGTGTTCGGGACGATTTCCCTTCGATTCTATTGGCTCTAACGGTCAGAAAGAGATGTCACATGTCAAAATCGAGCAAGGGGGGCCAGAGATAAGGAAAATCCACCCAAATGGCCCCAGAAGAGGGTTTATTTGCTAAATCTGTCTAAAAAGGTCAAATATCACTTGTTTTGCGTCAATCTTGATACAGGGTACTTATTATATGTTGTACTTTGGATTCCTAAAGCTTTTAGTCTACTAACCCATCATCCAAGGTTAGTTACTTTTCACTATAAGTACAAAATATATTTTGGACAGACACTATAATTTACAGTTTTTTACCATGTTCAATCTGAATTTTCTTTAAAATAAAAAAAACATATACAGTATATTGATTCTGACTTTTCTACATCCAACTCACAGGTTTATCATTACTTTGAGAAAAAAGATTATCTTTTTTCTCAAAGTAATGATAAACCTGTGAGTTGGATGTAGAAAAGTCAGAATCAATATACTGTATATGTTTTTTTTATTTTAAAGAAAATTCAGANAATAGCCTAATACATGCAAAAAAAATGTAGTTTTTGTCTGATATAGGCCTAACAATAAATACAACTTTATTAGCTATCAAGCTATGAAATATGTTTTGCGGCTCCATACAAAAAAATGTTTTGGAAAAAGGAGCAAAATGGCTCTTTTGGTCAAAAAGGTTGCAGACCCCTGCCCTAGTGGAACGGTAGGGTATAATGAGTTCTTTAAGATAAAGATGGCGCCTGCCCATTAAGGGCCTTGTAGTCGAGAAGAAGAATTTTAAATTCTATCTTGTGTTCTACAGGGATCCAAAACAGGAATAATGTGGTCCCTTTTCCGTGCTCTGGTCAATACATTTTGAATCAGCTGAAACAACTTAACTGACTTCTTGGTACACCCTGATAATAAAGAGTTACAATAAGCTAGCCTTGAAGTAACAAATGCATGGACTAGTTTCTCTGCATCGTTTTGAGGCAAGATATGCCTGGTATGTGATTTTGTAAATACATTTAGCACACAACTACAATCATAACATCATTAGAAAATGAAATGATTTGATGATTTTTATGACTGTGATATTTTCTTTTCTTTGATAAATGCGGAGTTTAAGCGTATAACAACCCTGCCCCTCCAATTAAGATTTCTCTCTCAGCTGGATGTGCTATCTGACAAACTTCTGAAGATTTTTGAGAAGAGAGGAGGACAGATAGGCCAGCGTCTGAACTGTATTATGTCAAACATGACTCAAGTAAGAATTCATTTTAAGGAAATTATATATCGAGTCAATAGTGTACACATTTCATTGAGAAAAACAGATTCTTTATTTTCTTATTCCCCTTCACTTAGGTTGATGATGTTGATTTAGGGCGGGAATGTCTTCTCAAGGGGCTGTGTGTGCACCTCAATGAGGACCCAGAAGATCTGCTGAGAGAGTTTGTGGTCAGTAGAAGTAATATTTTACCTTTTGATTTTGTTTGTTGGGCTTTAAAATATGCAATTATTGAAGCACCACATAGTATATAGCCAAAAGTATGTGAACATCCCTGTTTTTTGTTTAATAGCCAGACTACACTGAAAAGCTAGAGGGCTTTTAATTTAAAACGGATACAGGAAATGAAACATTTTTTATTAGGTCAGACAGGAGTATATCAGATAACAAGGAGGCTTAAAAGTACTGAAATCTGACCAAATGTACTTGTTAAACACAGGGATTTAGTAATATATATGTATTGATTTGTTAGATCTCACTCTGTTCCTTTCGTGACTGTGCACTCTGCAGGCAGAAGATGAAGACGTCATTCTGCGGTCCTTTGAGGGGATTATAGGGGGACTTTATGTTGTCAAACACAATTCCACCCCAATGAGACCAGAGGACAGATGAGACCAGAGGACAGATGAGACCAGAGGACAGATTGTCCTGGAAGGCCAACAGGTACTAACTGATGTGGACAACATTGCATTAGCTGCTACCATGCTGTTTGGACTAATGTATGCAATGAACCTGAACTACCCCCCTAAACTGAAGTGCACGTTCAAAGTGCTCCAGCAAATGTTAATGGAGCTAGACGGCAACATGCTCTCCAAGAAAGCCCAAGCGTTTAAAAACAAACTATTTCAGTGAGCTGTTGCCATGGACCATTGTGCACTTTTACAACATTCATACTGGACTTTCATCGATACAACTGTCTTGCACTTCCTTTGTTCATGCTTTTTGCTGTATTGATTTGCATGTTTCAGAAATGTTTGTTTTTCCTGGGGTCATGTGTTTTCAGAATGTACCACTTGTCATGTTTTTCAGAATGTACTAATTGCACTAATGTACTAACTTCAAAATGTCAGTTCTTGTTTTTATTTGTAATACTTTCTTTAGTGCATAAAGTATATGGTGAGAAACCAGGCCATTATTATACTTTCATGTGTTTTTCCAAAGCAATGCCATTGATTTTTTGCATTAAAGTGCCCTTTCATATTAGCAGGTTACTATTTAAATAATGGATTTGCAAGAACATTTCCTTTTTTCGGCTAGGCGTTGACATTTTCTGTTAATTGTTTACTATGAATGAGTTACAAAAATAAGCCTTTCTTTGCCATTTGGCCCAATAAACCTTTATTTTGGTCGGGAGAATAGTTTCCTTTAAGCTTCCTTGCAGTGTTCTAACACAATAATGTACATGCATCACAAACATTTTCTATTTATTCTATTTCTTTATTTTCAATGTATTTGTTAATTCTCCTGGGGCTGCATGATGGAAAAACCAAAAGCTCATCTGGATGTGTGTTGGTTGGTAATATTGTTTTATTTTTTGAGAAAAATACATAAATGTTGTTCAAAGAAATGTGTTTGTCTTTATTGACTATTTGTTTTAAAATGGTTTGATAAATGCTGTAGATATAAGAGATTAGGATGGATCCTGTAGAAGAATGTACGAGATGCCTCTATTCACATGAAATAAATAATCTTATGTACCCCTTGAGCACTAGGTAGATTAAACAGAAAACTATAGCATGTAGTTTAAACAAAACATTAATGTGGCTTTAACAGGTACAAATGAAATATACTGAGTATATTAAAAGCCTAAAATGAACATAAAAAGTCATGTTGGTTAAACATAGGGTAAATGAATATACTAATATTAAAGGAAATATTCACATTAACATAACCATTTCATGTTTCTTTGACATAACATAGTTGTGTGTCTGTAACATAATGGAATAGTTTTGAGTACACATGATTTTAATATGTGCAACCGGTTTCCATGTTATTTTATTACTTAAGTCCAACAGACTTTTTACAGTGAAGCTTAAATAAAGAAATCATGTTGCTTTAACAGGTACAAGTTAAATATACTGAGCATATTAAAAGCCTAAAATGAACATAAAAAAGTCATGTTGGTTAAACATAGGGTAAATGAATATACCTTTATTAAAGGAAATATTCAAATGAACATAACAATTTCATGTTTCTTTGACATAACATAGTTGTGTGTCTTTAACATAATGGAATAGTTTTGAGTACACATGTTTTTAATGTGTGCAACCGGTTTCCATATTAAAATCATGATAATCCAACGGCCTTTTTTTTTTCAGTGCACCCACTTATGAGCAACAGACTCATGAACAGTTAAAGTAAGCTACTGCTCTGTTGCTTCCACGATAGTATCATAAACGGCCTACAGGTGTGTGTAATGTCCTGAGGCATTACAGAGCGCTTGGTGTGGGAGCTGAGGGTTGGTAAAACTTGATTTATCCCATAAAAAAACCGTAAAGTTCAACTGACACCACAGCAACTCTTTGTTCCTTGCCAATTAAATGTCACGTGAAAAGAACATGAATGTTGACAACGATAGATTTATATAGATTTATGATAGAATATTTATTATTATTGAATGCAACCACTTTTAAAATACATGGGGTTATTCTTTAAAAGCATCATTTGTAATAAATACTACTAAAATAAACTGCAGCGATATTTTAAAAACAGTCAATGTATTTTAGGTAAACCTTGCACTAACTTTAAAGTATTTGCATTATAGGAATTTCTAGCAGAATATTTCCTTTCTTATTTAAACTAAATATCCTATTACAATTTTTTTTTTAAACATATTTTCTCTTTAGTAACGTATGAATTTTGCCAAAAAGGTCAATCCTTTTGTAAAATTAGTGAAGCAAAAACCCTTCTTGCGAAAACCAAGGTCGTTTTCGGACCTTTATTATAGCTGTATAAATATGGATAACATGCAGAAAGATAGTTAATCCTTCAAAAATGAAAAAACAATCGTAAAAATAAAAACATAATCTTTCCATTTACTCTTTGTCTTAATTTTACTTTATTCTGAGTGTAAATATGTGGCCCCCAGGACTCTAAAAGCGATAACATTTAATAGGTGGGGTCATATGGAGAGGCCCCATATGAGCAACGGGAAACAAATTATGAGCATATCTCATTTCCAGTTTGGGTCAACGTAATGAGGGGTGGGCTGCAACGCTTTTTTAATAAGTCCCAGTTTTCTATATTCATATATCTTCTTGTGCTTTTAATCAACCCCCCTTGCTGCACTTCATAAAACTTTCACCCCCAGAGTTGATGTATTACATTTTGTTCTAGCAGCTGTTTCCATCACAGCCAGCAACAAGAAGCCAACTTTTTTTCTCCTTAGGTTCAGCAATCCTCTTGGGATCACTGTGTTTCAGTTCACAACTCAATAAAGGTTTTTTCAATTCGTGACCGGCCAGTAATGCTGCTTGTATTGCAGTCGCTATCAGGGTCGTGCTGAGTAAATGTTTACATTTCACATTCAATTTCTGTATTAGATGATTTTTCCTCCCCAGCTGACCACACACACACTTTTCTTCTGGCCCCAGCTTTGACTCATTTTAAATATCATTTTTTGGATTCCCTCTCTACATTTCTTGGCATTTCCTTAATCCCTTTCCCTTTAATTGTCATCTAAAGTATGTTTCCTGTTGAAGGCTGGAATAGCAAATACCTGGCTGAACTTGTTGCTTTTAAAACCTTCACCGCCAAATGTCATATATTATTACATTGGAAGAGTCCCAACCCCTCTGGAACAACTTCTTGGTTAAAAGATTTAATGAATTTTCTTCCCTGAGGAAATATCAGGCAAACAGTCAAAGTGTGTAGAAATTTAAGAGCACTTTGGACTCTTTCTCAACTTTAATTAACAACCTATTATTCTTTTTATAATGATTACTGTTATTATATGTATTTTTCTGTGAGAGGTTTATTCTAGGTTGATTTTGGGTTGGCTTTGTTATTTTTATTTCTTCCCTTTTTACTTATCAGATTTCGTATTCACTTTTAATTTCCCTACAGTCTGTAACATGCTTTGATAACCATGTTGCTTGCATCTACAGTATACTTTACTTTCCTTGTCATTGTAGTTGTCATAGAGGCTATTGATGATAAAGTATAACTTTAAACCTTAAACACGCAACCCTATCCCCTAAAACTTTGTGAACATGCAGGCAGGTGCCATAAAGTTGCACTACACGTCATAATGCTCTGTTTTATGAAGGCCAGGACAATGGTTTTCGAAGAGGAAATGAGTCCTCACTATCTCTGATATACATCAACATTCAGCAGCATTCGTGCCAAACCTCCATGCTACATTAGTCACGGTGTGCCGCACGCACAACACACAGCATGACTATTTTTGCATATAAGGCTGAACCAAAGTTAAAAAGCTTGTATTGAAAACAAGCTGATAAACGAGCCATCTTTTTGAGCCAATTTTCGAGTTACAACTTCCATATCCGACACATGATGTAATGGGGCCTAAAAATACTTATCCCAATTACCTACATTGGAAAAATGTATTTCTATAATCCTTAGGTTGAACAACTTCCCAATATAAACACTTAGATAGCCTTTCTGGAAATCAGTGGGTGGTCAAAGTTGTAAAACGCACTAACAACTGAACTCTCTTATTTTGCATCCACCAGTCTTGCTCATGAGCCAAAATCGAGGTATTGAAGGAAGACCTTGTACACTTGCTCCATGGGACTACAGCTGCGGAAGATCACAAGTCAACCCAGATGATTATATGATTTGGCAGTCATTACATTTTTAGCTTCAGGCACTATTGAGAAAAATATATAGGAAGGAACAGGATCCAACAGCAAACCATGTATCCTGTTTTGTTTTAACATCTATGGTAAAACCTTTAAGTTAGCTGCGAGCAACTAGTGCTGAGGTTAGTAAAACAGACTTATTGGCAACCTCTTAAGCCCCAAGCCTGTTTTTCAGGTTTCAGGCTCGAAAATGACATTCCCAGAACAAATGACCATATCTTCCCTTCTAAAAGGGTTAAATTAATAAGGCACACANCTCAAAACGATGCAGAGAAACTAGTCCATGCATTTGTTACTTCAAGGCTAGCTTATTGTAACTCTTTATTATCAGGGTGTACCAAAAACTCAGTTAAGTTGCTTCAGCTGATTCAAAATGTATTGACCAGAGCACGGAAAAGGGACCACATTACTCCTGTTTTGGCTCCATAGTGAGAATAACTTTGTATATCAAGTACGAACAACCAGGTTAGACTACATTACATTTAATTTAAGTTTTTTAACAAAGCGGCTTAAGATAAGTATTACTGTAATGCAAGACTACATATAAGAAACACCCTTATAGCCATTTCAACAAACAAAACATTATCCCTTTTGTGAAGGGGGCTTTATCGCAGAATGTTTGGCTTTTGCCTCTCACTTTCTGAATAACTTTTGCCTAATAAATCAGAGAATGTGTATATCCCTGCAATGTTTGCAGTATGTAAATGTTATGAATAAATATTCAGAAATGTTCAGACTAATACCAGTTTTCAATTAGTTAAAGA